CTCGCTCACTCCTCTGTTTTTCTAACTCTGTGCTTTTCGCATTTCCTGACTTAAAGCGGTAAAGGAAGAGGAAATGCCAAAAATATTACAGGATGAGTTAGTTCGTGGCATTTCCCAGCAGCGGGGACCTCTGGCTCCTCGCAGCCCAGCCCGCCGCCTGCAGAGAGAGCGCCTGGGGCTCCCCAAAACTCTGGTGATCGATCGGGAAGCTGTCTTTCTGGGGAGGGTCCCCGACAGGAGCCCATTTTCCCCAAGTAACCAAGACGATGATAGAAAACTGGCCCTCATCACCCCCTCACTGCGATGTGGACCCACAACTCATCTCGGTGCACTTCCCGTCGCCTCAGAAGACGGGGCACCTGCCACACACCACAAGGCCAGGCCCTCGACTCCTTCTTCCCCCTGACATCTCAGGTGGATTTGTCCTGATCGAACCGCATGCTCTCTGGACAGCTCTCGCGGGCTGCTTTGTAAACAGGGCTGGGGACACCGCACTAGCCTCGGAAGCAAGGTTTTCGCTGCAGGAAAAGGCATGCAGGGCGTTGGATTCCCGCTGTGCGGGGAAATCAGCCACAGCCACAGCTGCCCCCCATGGTCCTCACCCTTTCCAGGAGTAGATACAGGGCAGCTGGGAGGGAGGAGAGGGTTTTCAGGGGTTGGATTTAATTTATCCGTGGGGCAGCGTGAGAAAAGCCCGCATCCCCAGGTGGAAAGTGAACAGTTTGGCCTGCAGCCCAAAGAAAGCATGGAGACATGAATCCTCAACCCCACGTGCTCACGTACAGCTGGGCAAGAAGGAACGCTCTCATGAAGGAATGAGTATTCGAGAGTGAAGATGCAAGTGGAGCCTGAGCCCGGGGCTCCCAAAACACCTTCCCTTACCAGCCCCTGAAGATGTTCACTTCCCAGTTCCCAGGATCTGCGAATTCCTCAGCTTACACACGGTTCGTGCCAACAGGGAGCTAAGGGAGAAGAGGGGATTAGGGTTGTTGATCACTGGACCTCAAGATAGGGAGAGAGTCTAGATTATACAGGTAGCCTGGTATATTCAAAAGCATCCTTAAAAGTGGAACAGGGACAGGGCACCTGGGTGGCTCTGACTCTTGGTTTTGGCTCAGGCCACGATCTCATGGTTCATGGGTTCGAGCCCCGCATCAGGCTCCGCGCTGAAGGCGCAAAGCCTGCTTGGGATCCTCTCTCCCTCTCTCTTTACCCCTCCCCTGCTCATGCTCTCTCTCTCCCAAAATAAATAAATAAAAAAAAAGGAACAGAAGGAAGAACCAGAGAAATGGTAGCATGAGGACTCAAATCAACATCGTTGGCTCTTAAGATGGAAACAGGAGACTTTAGGCCAATGCATGTAGGAGGCTCTAGAAGCTGGAAAAGGCAAGGAAACAGGTTCTTCCCTAGAGCCTTCTACTCTCAAGTCTTCCCTGTTCCTTCTGGAAGGAAGCTTCCCTGGAGCCTCCAGAAGGAACAGAGCCCCCCCACCCCCAACACCAAGATTTGGGCCCAAGGAGACTCATTTCAGACTTCTGCCCTCCGGCCCAGTAAGAAAATACGTTTATGTTATTTAATCCACTAGGTTTGTGGTCGTCCCAGCAGGAAGAGGAAACTAATATACCACTTATCATGACACTCATCCATTATAACGTAATTTTTATTTATATGCCCATCCGACACTCCCATCGGTGACAGTAAGAATAGCGGCTAGCACGTGTTGAGCACTTAGCACATGGCAGGGCCTGTATGTTTTCCAGAACCCTTACATACTATAAAAAGGCAACTTCGACCGAACACTGTCCTGAAAGTAAACACAGGGATCCGGGGGGCAGGGGGAACCTCCAGACGTAGCTGCAAGGAGATGAAGACACAGGGATATTTCAAAGGTGAGCAGGAGTCGGCCTGAGACAGAGAAAGAGCGCCTTTTAAAATTTTTTTAAAAAGTCACTCAGGGGCGCCTGGGTGGCTCAGTCAGTTGAGCACCTGACTCTTGACTTTGGCTCAGCTCATGATCTCACAGTTCCTGAGTTTGAGCCTGGAGGCTCCACCCTCAGTGTGGAGTCTGCTTGAGATTCTCTCTTCCTACCTTTGCCCCTCCCCTGCTCATGCTCCCGCTCTAAAAAATAAAAAAATGTCCATCAGATCCCATTCCCGGAGCCCAGGCTCAACCATACTTCCCCCCTCTGTACTTGGTTTGGAGGGGGACTCCCCAGCCTGGCTTAGAGCCTGCCTCCCTCAGGCGGGCCTGGGTGGCTCAGTCAGTTGAGCAGCCAACTTTGGCTCAGGTCATGATCTCACAGTTTGTGGGTTTGAGCCCCGCATCAGACTCTGTGCTGACAGCTCGGAGTCTGGAGCCTGCTTTGGATTGTGTGTCTCCCTCTCTCTGCCCCTCCCCTGCTTGTGCTGGCTGTCTCTCAAAAAATTAATAAGTAAACATTAAAAAAAAAAAAAAAAAGAACAGCCTTCTCTAAAACCCTCCGGGGCAGCCTCTCTCTACCTGGCCAGTCCCTCCCCAAGACTTCAGTTTCAGGGAGGCCTTTCCCCAGCAAACCTTGGACCACCCCGACTCCTACTTCACTTTGGTCAGGATTTCCATCTTGATAACAAGAATCAAAGTCTTTCATTTGGGCTTCTTTGTCTGGCCCCGCCCTGCCTCTGGAATGCAAGCCCCAGGTGGGCGGGGCCGGGCCTATCTAGTTAAGCACTGTACCCTCCCCTCGGGACCTCACACTGTGCCAGCCCGTAGCAGGTGCTCCGTATGGGCTTGTGGACTTGGCCAACCAAAAGAGCAAGTGTGAAGCTGACACTGAAGGATGGGGCCGGAACCTGAAGGCCTTGAACACAGGGTCCAGGACTGGTAACCCCCATGGGGGGAGCCACGTGGTAAATGTGTGCCGATGAATGAATGATGAATCTGATAAGTGCCGTTCTTTCTCTGCAAGGCTCCCAAAGGGGTTCCCTCTCCTCTCCTTCCTGGGACTTCTTAGCAGGGGACATGCCCAGGGCATGTAGCAAGTGCTCAATAAATGTTAGCTGTCATCGTCCCTACTACTTACGTGGGGGCTCATTTGTGCATCCTACAGAAAAGACTTCTTTTCGAGCCCGTGCCTGCTACGGTGGCTGGGAGAGAAGTACAAGGAGGAAATGACAAAGGGAGAAATGCGTCAAACACAGCTGAGGTCCCAGAGGGAAAATGCGGAACGACACTGTTCCAGGTAACACGGGTTCCCGTTCTCCTTGAGACGTCAGTCCCGTGGGTGCGGTGTGCAGATGCCAGCTGGGAGGTGGGTCCCATCTGAATGCACACTTTCATTTTGGGGCCTTCAGGGCGCTGACTGGTTTTGAAAATCTGGCTCACTGTGGCTGGTGAGAGGTGGAGAGAATTTCAATTTCCTTCACCAAATGGCAAGCCTGCGAACGAGTCCTTTCTCTCCGACATTATCACATACTAAAAATGAAAAACCAGCCATTCCGAGCTCTCATAAAGAGAAAAATAGATGGGCTGCTTAGCTCACAAGATGCAGGAGGGCTGAAAATCAAGTCGAGAGAACATCAGAGGGTACATTTTGTGCTGAGATACTACCCTTTTTTTGGACTTAGGAGTTTCTATTTTTCACAAAAGAACGGGAGAGAGAGAAAAGTAATTCCCTATATAATAAGCCACCCATTTTATGTTTCAAATCCATTTGGTGGCTGAACAGTCGGGGTTAGGGGATTTTTTTTTAACTCTCTACCTCAAAACACACAGTTTGAGATCACCACGCATCTCAAAAATAGCCACAGTAATAGATAAGGCAGAACACAGGGGAGGCACTAAAACAACAAAACTTGTAATGCAAATAAGACATATTTCCAAATGTTCCATGGCCGGCAGACCGGACAGTGCCACTGTGAAAGGAGCACTGGACTTGGGAGTCCTAAGACTGGCCAAGCGACCTTGGGTAAGCAAGGTCACTTCTCCCGCCTCCCCCCTCCCTGCACAACCAGGGGGCTTAAACAGCGGTTAAGGAAGATCCTTTTTTTCTCCCTAAACTGTTGAGATCTGCTGTTTTCCAGAAGACCCTGCATCTTCTGGCTTAACAGTCCGCCTCCAACTGCAAACCAGAAAGGCCTTGGGGTGAGGGGCGCAACAGAGAGAAAACTAGCCTCGATGCTCAGGGCGGTTTTTCAATCCCCCAACTACTCAGCTGTGGTCCCAGAATCCGTTCATCCTGCCAAGACCACCTGATGGGGTGCCCGGGAAAAGTGGAAGAAAGTTCTTGTTCCTTCGGATCAGCGCAAGCCAAGAAGGCTGACGGCGGGGTCTCAAGTTGGCTCTCCATCCCCCTGCGCCAGTGGAAGGGGAAATTATTAAAGGAAACCGCTCTAGGAATGCGGTTCTTCTCGAGATGTACGAGGAGATCTTCTCGAGAGTTCTTCTCGGGATGTACGAAAACCGCAGGATACCAGACGCCGGCGAGTTTTTTCTTTTAAACTTCACGTCTCGCTCAGAAAATGCAGCAGGTCCCAAAACGGTACAAGCGGGAAAAACACAAGCCTCTTCCCAAGCGTCCCCGTGAACAAACCCCAAGCCCCGAGTGGGGGCGTCTGCTTCCCCCTTCCGGGTCGTCTCGCTCGCTTTCAAGGCTCAAGTGGGGGTCCGGGGGGGCCCTGCCCGGCAGCGCGGCGGCCAAGCCGGGGCCGCGTTAGCCGGCAACGCCGGGCCCGGCCGCGCTTCCAGAAACGGCGGGGAACTTTCCTCCGCCGCCCAGAGAGACAATGCCGGGAGGGCGCCCCCCGGGCGGGCCCCGCGTCTCCCCCGCAGGGCGCGCGCAGCCACCCGCCGCCCCCCGCCCCGGAGCGGCCCCCCCGGAGCCCCCGCGCCCGTCCCGCGCGCGCCCCGGACGCCCGGCCGGGGGGGGGGGGCGCAGCCAGGAGCCCGGCCCCGCGCACCGCGCCGGCGCCTCGCGGGCAGCGGGCAGGGGGCGCGGACGACCCAGGGCGACCCCGCAACTCACCAGGACCGGGACTGGACATTATTCCATGGCTCGCGCGCGCCGCACCCCTCGGCCGGGCGCGGGCGGCCCCGGGGACGGAGGGCGGGCGGCGGCGGCGGCGGCGAGGCGCGGGAGCCGAGCGCGGCGCAGGAAGGGGCGGGCGACCCTGTGCCGAGGGGAGGGGGCGGCGGCGGCGCGGGCGGTCGGACGCTCCCGCTCGGCGGCGGCGGCGGGCGCGGGCTCCAGGAAATCCCAACACTTCGACAGGAAATCGGAATCCTGACTAAGCATTCCGGGCCCGGCGGTCGCTCCGCGCCGGGGGGCTCCCGCCTCGCTTAACCCTTGGCCCGCCGGCTGCAGGGGCGGGGGGGGGGGGTGCGCGGCGGGGTCGGGCTCGGGGTCCTCTCGCTCCGCCGCAAGCCCCCCGCCCCCCGCCCCCGCCGGCTCCGCGCCCAGGGCTGGAAGGGCCGGGATGCGCCCAGATAAGAGCCTTGGCCTTGGCAGGCGCCTTTGGGAGCCCCCCGCCGCCCCACCCCGGCACCAGAAGAGGGCCTTGGCCTCTCCCATTCTGCAGAGGATGAACTTGCCACCTCCGGGCCGGTTCCCTTGTTTTCAGTAGAAGAAATGACTTTACCTGGCTGTCCCCTTGGACTGCTTCGGCTCTGCCATAGCCCAGCTTCGGCCCGTGGCAGGGGGCAGGGATTCCCTCTCTCGGGGTAGTATCCAAACAGTAGGGACCCTAGCAGCCTGGACTTCAGGCTCTGCTGCCTGTTGGAATCTAGTCTTTGCTTTTTGTGTTCTTGCTGTCACCCTGGGTAAGTCCCCTAACTTCTCTGAGCCTCCGTTTCCTCAAATGTGAAATGAGGCAGAAATACTAGTCCCCTAAGGTTAAAGTTGGAAACCAAATGTTTCCAGGGGCCGGGACTGACACGTCGTAAATGCTCGCATAAATGATGGCCTTGATTGTTCTTATTACCACTGGAGACATCTGAGAACGGAGGGTTTTTACTCAAGGGGTGAGTGCTGTGCATATCTGTGCCTTCGAATTTCATTTTCTTCCCAATCACCGAGTGATTCCTTTCCTTTGCAGGATTTCCGAAACTGCTCTGAGCAGAGGGAAAGGTTAGTGGCTACGGCAGACCCCCTTCTGGTGAAATCTGAAACTCACAAACCTCCCAGAATTGGGGAGTTTGCTCTTAACCCAAGAGTCAGGACATTGTGGAGAGTTCTTTAAAAGCCCGAAGAGGCTTTGCAAAGTTTGAAAACCGGAGGAAGTCTCTGTCCAGTCAGGCCAGGGCTAGGCAGCCAGTGGGAATGATTCACTGTGGTTTCCCACAGAAATACCACATTTGGGGGTTTCTACCTGGAGGATGCAGCTTGGTGGTTTTGCTGTAAGCGTTTCAGATTCCTTTGAAACCTCATCGGACCTCGAAGAGGGAACAACACGCCCGTGAGTGAAAACGGAAGCTTGAAATGAACCTCCGGGAACCGAAAGTTGGGTATTGGCTCCTCTACTCCATGTCAGGACCAGACTTCAGTTCTAAACCCAAGTTTATCTCTTTTCTGCAACTCTTTTTCAGTGGTCAGAAGCAGTGAGACAAGCTCTCTGCTTGGCACCAGGAGTCCAGGGTCCTGCCCCAGGCCCTTTGCGGCTGCTGTTCCCTCTTGTCTGGAAGCATCTTCCGCTTGGCTGTTCTTGGCACTCAGCTCACAGCTCAGGAGTCCAAAGGGGCTTTCCCAGGCCATTTGATCTACTGGTGTTTGCAGCCTACTTCCACCCCTGTCTCTCCTGCACATCACATGCCCTGTTTCACTGCTTCCTGGCCCCGGTCACTACTTAATTTATCCTGTTTGGCTGCTTAGATGTCTGTCCCCCACCCCCCCCACCCCCGGCGTGGGTAAGCTGCATCAGAGCAGGCTGCTGCCTCTCTCCAGCATTCCCGTGTGCCAGCGCCAAGAAGAGTGCTGGCCCCGCAGGAGACCCTCATCAAAAACATGTCAAACGAAAGAAAGGGACAAACAAGATGAGTGAGGGTGAGCGGCTCACTCTCTCCCTCAGCTCCCCGTGTCTGCCGATCTGGCCGAGAGGCTCTCAGATGCGAGAGCCCAGTGTAATGGACGAAGCATCAGACAGCTCTGTTAATGGTTCTGGAAAGTTAAAACTCCAAGTAATTAAGACTGTCAGATGACGTAACTGCAGTCTCACTGGTACACTCCCAGTTAACTGCTCCCTCCTTTGTGCCCCCCCCAACACTTCTGTTCATTTAAAGAACATATTTATCACCTTCTATGTGTGCTCAGTGAGCGCTCTCCTAAGTTAGACGGCAAAGTCTCTGACTTGGAGGGAAAGGACGGGGGTCTACCTTTATTGACCACTTTCTGAGTGGGGGCCTGAGCAAGGTGAATTTGAATTCATTAAAAGGTGGTGGTTAAGTGCCCGTGATGTGCTCAAAAACCTGGCCACGAGGTCTGCAAAGATGAGCTATTCTTGCTCTCTAAGAAAGACAGACCAGGACGCTCTATTTAGAGAGCAGGGAGAGGATTACCCTCAAAGAAGCCTGCCCAGGGTGTCATGGGCTATACAGAGTACGGGGAAGGGTTCCTAAATCAGTGTGGGGTGGGGGTGGTGTCTTAGTTTGGGCTGCTCCAAAAGAATACCATGGCCAAGAGGACTGACTTAGAAACAGCACAAGTTGGTTTCTCACAGTTCTGGAGGCTGGGAAGTCTGAGATAGGTCCGAACAGATCTGGTGTCTGGTAAAAGCCTGCCTTCTAGTTCACAGACTTTCAGCTAAGTGCTTTCAGCACAGTTCCTCGGGGGATCCCCCTAGGTCCACTTGCCCCCAGTAGTAAGCCACTTGGTAATTCGCTCGTCATGCCGTCTGTCTCTTCCCTGCCTCTCTTTCTCACTCATTCCTTCTTCTGGGATCAGTTGCCTCCCACGTAAACCGGCTGCACCAAATTCCTTATCTCCATGTTTGTTTCTGGGGGAGCCCAACCCAGGACAGCATTCATTCATTTACTCACAACAGAGTTCATTCATTTACTCACAGATGCTGATGGACCCCAGGCACCCTCTCTGTGCCTGAGCAAAAACGGAACACGAGTATGGGCACCTAATGTATTTAGGTAACGGCCTGAGGGGTACATGTTCAGACGTGGAAAGAGATGAGGCTGAAAAGCTTTGTACCGTTTTGCATTTGAGGACAACTGTGGCACAGGAGTGCTCAGTAAGTGGCTCAAGGCCAAACACTTAGCACCCAGAGGAGCTTTCAAGTCCAGGCTTTGACCACCACCCTATACTGCGTCTCCCGGTGGCTAAAGCTATTGGTACAATTGGTGAATTCACTCATGGGGGTTGTGTAGAGTGAGAAAATCCCAGGATCGAGGCTGATCTCCGAGGAATGCCTTGGGCAGCAGAGGAAGGTGTGCCTGCAAAGAAGACTGAGAGGGAGGGGCCTCGAAGAGAAGTGGGAAGAGAACCACAGGTAAGAGATTTCTTCTGAAAGTTAGGAGTGGCCACCACTCAAATGCCCCCAAGAGTTCAGTCAGATAAGGATAGGAAAGCAGGTACGCATCTCATTTGACAATTGGAAGACTGATAACTTCTGCCAGAGCTGTTTCAGTGGAGTGGAGGGATTGGAAGCCAGATTGCAGTGGGTTGAGGAAGCCAGGTTGCAGTGGGAGATGGCAAGTGTAGACAACTCTTTTCAGAAACAAGGCTGTCTAGCTGGTGGGAGGTGAGGGCGGAGGATTCTTTAAAGAGGGGTGGGTGAGTGAGCATCTGCGGTTGATGGGAAGGTCCCCGGAGAGGGGGAGGGCGGGCGCACTGACGGAACAGGCACCGAGGCTGACAAGGGGTGGGGCCTAGGGTGGGGGGAGGGGATGTGGCCCAGACCAGAGGAGGGCCACCTTGTCCACGGGAACAGAGGGACAGGACTCAAGTTCTGGATTCCCAGACTAGGACCTAGGTGGGCTCTTAAGGCCCCCTGTTTAATTCCTCGTGACATTCCTGCTCAGGGCGAAAAGAATTCAAATGCGGGTGAATACAAAGCGACTTCGGCCCCTCCGAATGGAAAACAAATGGCACTAGAAGCTATTTTGGCCCAAAGTGGGTTAGTGAAGTAGCAAAGGAGGGGATGAGCAGGACAGACTTTGGGAGCCAGAACACACCCAGCTTGTCGGAAGGAGAGTGGGGGGCAGTGGGCGGTGAGAATATGGCGGGCGAGGGGGAGCTCACCTGTTGAGGGGGGAGGAGGAGTGGGGAGGGTGGTATTTTTAAGCATGATAAAGAGCACAGGAGGGGAAGGTTTTGAGGTGGAAGATAATGAGTTCCTGTTTGTGCTTTGTGCTGGGAAGGCAGTGTGGGTGGTGGGGAAAAGTCTGTGGCTTTGCTAGGCTGGCGAGGAAGGAGAAGGCAGTGGGCGTGAGGGGGGCGGGAAGAGGGGAGGCAATGGGACCTTCACAGTTGGTGATTAACCACCTAAACAGCTAACACCCTTTACTAGCTTCTCACAGTCTTGCTTTATACCGACTTCTCCAATGCAGGGTTTCCCATCCCTGGAGGTTAATTCTTTGTCGTGGGGACCTCTTGTGTTTTTCAGGATGGCGCACAGCATCCCCGGGGTCTTCCCACTGGATGCCAGCAGCAGCACCCCAGCTGTGACAACAAAAATGCCCCTAGATATTGCAAAGCATTCTCTAGTTGCGAACACCTGCTCTATCGCCTTTCCCTCGTGTCACGATGCTACTTGAAAGGTACCACTTTGGACCATCTTCCTTAGCAGAAGCACCTGTTCCCAATTGGGGGGTCACACTGCCAGGGTTCAGAGCTGGGTTCTTCCACTCCCCTGGGCCATGACCTTGAGCAACTTGCTTCCCTTCTCTCGGCTTCTATTTTGTTGTGTTGTTTTGGGTCTTTTCTTGTTTTTCCTCTGTAACATGGCGTTTTTGAGGGGCTGAAATGATGTAATCCGTGTAAAGGGCTTGGCTCTGTTTGGAGCATGAATTAGCCTTCCTTCCGTTGTGGCTTGTATCAGTAATACTTGTAGCGGTATGTAGACACAGGTGAGGCATCTACGCATTTGGAAATT